AACTTCAATTCAAATCTCGATTACACTCTATATTCTCACACAGAACAATTAGTATTTTTTAGATATGAATTAGACTCAAATGTATGTCTACAAAAATCCACTTTTATATGCAATAAATACATATATTGTATAGTTTATTTAAATATGGATTCATTTTAATAATTTATAAAATCATTCACATGTGTAATAAAACTAGCCTTAAATAAAATTATTTTAATCATTTTACCGTTACATTTTAGATTGCATTGATTAGATAAACTTAACTTGCACTGAAAATTATCAAATTATGCAAAATATTTTCTCTATTTAACAGAATATCTAAAAATGTATTACATATATAGCAAGTTTTACCACAGAGAAAAATGTAATATTAGGTGTTGGAATTAATTCGTAGCGTTTTACAAGTGATGGGAAGTACTTTCATTAATGTATTTTTTAATGCTCATGTGAAATAAATAACATTCTTTCATTAAAAACGCTACGAATTAATTCCAACACCTAATATTTAAATTAATAAAAAAAATTAGGAACATATTTTATCTCTCAGAGAAAGATGTTCATTATAATATAAATAAATTTTTTATATGATTTGATCACGCGTTAAATCTTTTATTTTTATAATAAAATAATTCAGATATAAATTATAAATTAGAATACGAGACAAAATCGAGAGATATGTACGTATAACATTTTATATTTTCATTGGTCAGATAATTATTTTAATATTAAAACACATTATAAGATAATCACTTATTATTTAAATTGTTAACTATATGTAGGTAACGACAAGCACGCACATTTTTCACCGTAATTAATACGAGATATTTTGCGAAAAATAAATTCAGCAAACTATTTTCTAAATAGGTTTTCTTGTTCTATTCTAAATATCTCACAGGTGCGATATAAATAATACCTATGCGATATTATTTCATTATATGCATGACTTAGTTTTATACGTTCTAAATGTAGAAAATATATTTAATTATAGCAAACAGGAATAATTTCAATAACAGAATTTGAATTATGTATTTTTTCATGTAATATATATCACATTTAACGTTCAATACTTCTCTTATCACGGAATACAAAAATAATCAGCACCATCTATGATTTTGCAATAAAACCTATTTAAACATATGTGAAAAAAATAAAACATATTACTCAAAATCTTTTTAAGCTAATTTAATATATTTGATTGTAATCATTATATGTCGCATGACAGTAATTAAATAAAAATGTTATTAGAAAAATAAAAAGAGAAAGAGAGAGACAGACCCACACACACACGCGCGCGCGCACGCGCGCGCACACACATTTCATAATTGCTACATATATTGTAAATTAGTATGTAAATTTTTTAGAAATTCTCTTAAATAATATATACTTACATTACTTACATATATGTACATGCATATATAATTTAAAATAAAGAAAAAATAGATATGTATATTCTGTCTTTCTCTTCCTCTGTCATATAAAATCGATATGTTTTTAATATTAGTTTTATGTTTATGCAGATGTTTACGGTGATGTTTACTTTAATACGTATAAGATTATTCTCGCTTCATGCATATCCTTGACTAAATACCTTATTAATACCTCAAGCGCAATGTGGATTGCGAACGCACAATCTGTAGCATTCAAATCTCGGAGCTCTAGGCGGCTTAGACCCATACATCTGCTGCCAATCAACGATTGTCGATAGTTACCATATCGACAATTCCACGCAATGTGTGATACCGTAATAATATTCGATAAAATTTTTGTCATTATTATTAAAGCAAAAAACTTTTAATTAACTTAAATATATAGTTATCTTTCCTCAAAAATATTAATTATTTGCCTTTAGATGAGATAAAAATCTCAGAAAACAAAAATAGATTCATATAAGATTGGAAGCAACACTCTGCTCGCTTTTGTGCGAACAAGTTCTTAGCCGAAGCACGATTTCAGGATTGCTCGGACCACGGTAACGCGTTCGTTTTCCAGAGCATCATTTTTCATCCGTCGTCTCTCATCTGGAATCTCGACTATGATTTATCGCGCCACCGCACCGCATCGTCGAAAAACTTGCTAATGCGTACCGCGCAACGGCAGGATGAAGATGCACTGCCGTTTCTACAACACGAGAAATTCCGCAAGTATCGACAGGGTTTTCATCGAGCGCGTTAGTAGAAATTAATCTCAGTTTCGTCGCCATCCACGCTTTTGCACCGTAAAACTTCGCAACTTCTAGTCAAAGAATAATATTTAATCTGCTATTTCAATACCAACTTTATATATAGAATTATTCACCATCTGTCTCTAATCAAGTCTAATGCATTTATTTCAGTAACTTATATACTGACACTATGAAAAGTGTCAATTCGTTGAAAATTATTGGAAAATCTCAATTAAAATTTTTTCTAATATACAGAAAATTTTGGAAATCAATGAAATGCAAAAGCATTTAAAATTATATTTAAAATTACGTAAAATTTAATTATTTCACATAATTAATTTAAAAAATTTTTTTTGTTATGTATATAAATATAAACTCATTTAATATTAAAATGTGTTTTTTTATGTGTTTTTCAAACAAATTTTATTTCAACGGAGATATAATTGTTAAATTATTTAACATTTCTAAAATTAATTACATGATTTCCGATATAACTTTTCTAAGAAAACTTTTGTTTAAAATTTATTACAGGATCAGTATTTTATTAAAAAAAAAAAAATTTGACAAATTGTAGAATAAAACAATGAATATTTAAATGAAAATTGGATATATTCGTTGCAAAACGAATATATCCAATTTTCATTTAAATATTTATTATCTTATTCCATAATTTGTCAAATATTTTTTCAATAATATAAAAGCTTATAGAAAAATTTAAAGTTTGCAGCAATACTCAAGAATTCTTATATAATGTTAGATTTGCAATTTAAAATATACGTGCTAAGATGCAAACAACTCACCAACTGGACGTCGTTGTCTCCAAGAATTTCTGGCAGTCATCGCGCTTCTTGGCACAGAAATTGAGGCGGCTGCTTTGTCTGCAACATAAACATTGATCGGGAATGAAATACCTGCTCATATTAAAACGTAATTTGTGATCGCGATTATTAGACACGTCGTTTGATCATTGTTCGATTAGAAGGCCATTGGGGTTTGCCTTGCTGCATGCGAACCTTGGCACGTGTTGCGCCAAAAGTTGGCGCCGTTTGGTGCGTCGATAAAATCTCAATTATAATCTTTGACGTATCACACAAGAGACCGATTTATCTATAATCGGTCTACATACAATCCCTTAATATTAATAACCAAATGGTATTTTTTGCTAATATTTTATATTAATGTTTTAATATAATAAAATTTCAACATGAAATTAACATGAAATTTCAATAATTTAGTTCCTTATTTATTATATGAAATTACTGAAGTTTTATAATTTATTATAAAACTTTATTACAGTAGCATATATTCTTATATTATAACATAAATATCTATATATTAATAATATATTATTTTTAAACGTAATTATATTGTTAGCTCTGTATCATTAGGTATATGTATGTTAGCGTCATCACGACAATACTAGATTTTTAATTTACCAATCAATATTTGATCATAAAGGAGGATGTTAAGTTTCGGCTGTTTTTCGACATAATGGAGTTCCAAGGTATACAAATTCTGTATTATTATAAAGAGTTACTTAAGCGAAGTCAAGTATCGCTTATTATGAAGAAACATCAATAATATAGCAGAAAATGTTATATCAACAAGAATAAATTAAAAAATTGTTAAATAAATTAATAAACGGTAATAAAAACTATCTTTAGTATTTAAGCACGTAAAATAATAAGCGTATTTGTTATTCAAGCTGGAATTCGAAATAAAACGATTATTTTACATTGAACTTTGTCACTCATTAATTGCTTGAAAATTTTCTCCAAGTTACACGTATTAAGTAACACTATAGTTCTTGTTGCTATTCTCGGCGGTTCTGTATCTTATGTAACAATTTTTCATTTATAAATGTAATAACATTCAATTTATTATCTTTCATCACGATTTTTCTTATATTCCTGATGTTTTCTCAAAATAATAAACAATACGCCATTCAACTTGACTTAAGTAATCCTTTAATGTGATGTATAATTTGTACATCAAAATGTATTTCAAACTTCAAAATAATATCATTTATCAGAATCATTAAATGTAATAAATATTTTTAATAGAATGTATTATACAAAAGATAAATAAACCAAGAACGGACCAAGGAATGAAACCATTCTAATTTATCATTCTGTAAGATTACGTCGGAAATCCTTACTCTTTAATGCGTCGATAAGATCTCAATTGTAAAGTGAGATATATAGAAATTGACCCTCCACACGTCACGTCAGCATAAAAGGAAAGTAAACGTGTAATAGGCGTATATGAAGCTATACTACACTGAAGGAATCTAGACTATTATCTGGCAGACACTCTCATTGGCTTACGGCACGACCGTTACAATTTCGCACCGGACGCGCTAGATACGATGAATCGTGATATCTCGTGCTGGATTTAATTGAAGCCCTTACATAATGGTACAGAGTTAAGGTTTATCTACTGTCAAGGGTCAAATATGTTCTGCGAAAAGTGAGAAACGGAATTATCTCCTCCATATCTATCAGGCAAGATCTCGCGCACGCCATTCACGAATTACTTGAAAGGACAATTTTATGGATATATAGTTATTATCATTTAAAAGTCTGAATGACAAAAAAGGTATTATTATGCACAACGAACGAAATTATTTATCCTTTTATTTGATAAACAGCAACCGATTAATTAACGCAACTACAAATTAAAAATAAATGTTACATAAATAAATGAGATGCAAATTTACATCACGAAGTTCTAGAAGAAAATACATAAAATATTTCAAACAAATATTTGCAATAAATAACATGCACTGATTTGCAATATCGTATATTAAACAAATATAATTTTTTTTGCAAAAATAAATAAATAACTTCTATTTTAATAGAACAATTTTAATTTCATTAGCTTTGACTCATTTTATTATAAATGTAACTTATAATAGTTTTTTTCACTCTCTCATTAATTGTGAAAGATGACATGTGAAATAAAAAAATAGAGTGGACTCGTCCTAATTGAAGAGCACTGCAAACTGCTATAAAGAGCTAGCAGCATCTTTCATTATCAGTGGAACCGCAAGAAAAGTTTAAAAATCTTTTTACTCTCTTTTCTGCATTTCCTTACAACTGTCTTAAAGAAAAATATGATGGAAAGATTTCTTACATTTTATGTACTTTAAAAGTTTCTAATTATTTCCAACATTACTCTTTTTTTTTAAAAATAGTTATAATAGATACTTTTCATACATGCAAAAGAAATTATACTTCAATTAAATATCGCAAACAAAATCTTTATTTATGACTATTTCTGTTTGAATAAATTTTATATAATTATAAAAATAAATTTTTGTGTTAAATTCAATTGTTTTTCCTATTTTTACCATGTTTTGATTTTTTCAGCGAGTAAAAATAAAACTAATATAATCGAAAACTAGCGTGAAATTAAAATCCTTTTAACAACAGGAACCTATTCAAGTTGCACCTTGTTTATATAACTCATTAAATTACTCTCTTTATATAGTTATATGAAGTACATGTACACTATGCACATACATTTATATGCATATAAATTAATTAAGTGATAAAATAAACCATCGTTATGCGGCATCATAATTCGCACAATATCTATATAATAGCACATCGAGATGTTTCCGTAAAATACTCAACCCCTTCACTGTTGGATATAATGGTGCACATAAAGAGAGTTATAAATTCTTCGTGCCAAATAAAATTCTTTTTAGACATATCAAGGAATATGCGAGAAGCAATAACGTACGAGAAAATATCACGTTTTAATTTCAGAAATTAATTACCACGTCATCCGTGGAATATGTATTTCTCCGATTTCGTTAAATATTTCCGTATTAAAGACTGATGAAGATTCATTGCCTTCGTACAATGTAATAATAAATTTTTCACTCATCAGACTCATTCATAGTTAAGAATTCACATTCAATAATTTTTTAAAATTTTTTTTCACTTACTTTTTAAAAATAAATCTGTAACTAAAATTGATTAAAAATTAATAAATATGTTGAACTACATACATATTCTATGTAAACTTTCCGAATGTCTTATTCAATATCTATTTTATATGTGCGTTGAAATTTTTATTCGAGAGTTATAGAAAGCAGAATTATTAAACTTTTCGAAAGATCATAAATGAATTAAAATATTAAAGACAAGGAACTTAAAAAACTACTTTTGAAAAGAAAAATGTCTATTAAGAAAAAACTGATTTATATCTAAAAGAAGGTTATTCTAAATCTTATTCAGATAACATTATGTTCCAAATCGGAACATAAGATATATGTCTTCTAAAGACACGTAACTTTAAAATGTTTTACATTCCGATTTTGGACATGATACTATCTGAATAAGATTCATAACAATCTGTTTCTTATGATATGTTTAAAAATATATATATGTGTGTGTGTGTGTGTGTATCATTTATGACTTTCTCAATTCCACAATTTCAAGTAAACAAAAATATATGATTATACAGTATAATCCAGATAATATTTCTCGCCACTCATTCATAGGAGATGGCGTAGTTACCAGTTATTCAGTGGAGGTCAGAAAATAAACTCAGTTAATTCGAAACGTCCCTTTGTTCTTTTCTCTCTATATATGAATGAATATATTATTATAATATACTTTCAATTTATTCGTTATTTAGCTTTATTTTCTAGTTCAAAAAATAAATTTGAAAGAAATTTTCTAAAAGCCTATTTCCTACAATATCTAGAAAAATTTCAGATTATTTCTTTTCATATTTCAAAGAGAGGAAGGTCGCAATTTGCACATCGCGCGTTTATGTTAGCGTTGTTACTGAGTTATCACCGGTAACTGCCGCGTAGAAGTAATTACTGCCTCTTCTCGAAAGAGCGGCGACTATTAATCGTCGCTACTGCTTATCATAATTAATTGCAGCATATAACGAGCAGAAGCGTCGCGCCAAAATCCGTAGCTCAACAACATCAGGGGTTCCCACGAAATCTAGCTCGCGTGATATTCAATAGCATGCAAGCCGCGGATTTATTGTCGTTCTGGCGCCGAGCGTTTATCCGGGATGGGTGGCGTTTTAACGGGCTCGATATTTAATGGGCGTCGCCGATAATATTTCTCACCACTTACTCGTCGGCAGTGGTGGAGCAGCTAATCAACGAAGATCAGAAAAAAAAAGATAGTCGCAGAGGAAATAGTTCCCTTAGGACAGATCACTTCCGATAAACTACGTTAATATTGTAATAACGATAATCAGTTCATAAAAATGGGTGCAGTAACATAAGTAATATAGAGAATCAATTTTATTATTTCAGAGATTCTGCATAACGATAGATTTTGCATAAAACCAAGAATACAAAATCATAAAAAATCACAAGGCAATTCTATATTCCATCATAAGGCAATTCTATATTTAGATAATACATCATCACCTAGAATTCTTTTCCCACAACTTTATTACATTGCATTGTGATATCGTCGCACGCGTTTCGATAAGAACATTGACGTTTACAATAATTGAAACTCGATCTGATGACGTTTGTAATAATTGAAAACTGGAGTTACTCCTCAAACGGTGTGGCGAACGATTGCTTGCGATCGATCGTTTCTACGAGAATTCCTATTAAAGTTCCGACAAGCCGGAGTTATACAAGAACTCCGTTCGTGAAGTCGGTAGATGCGCACGTGTACACACGTTAGACACGTATACACTCGTACACGCACACATCGACGTCGACAAATGGCTTTTGTACATCCCTTGGTGCGCGGCAAGACATGCCGCAGGGTTGAAAAACGTGAAAAAGAACGATATTTCGTTCGTGGAATAACGTTTGTAAACCGAAAGGGAGATTACGCGGGTTATGCGGGCGGACATTATAAGCGGTGCCTTTGGTTTGTAT